TAGGAAGCCATAGGAACAAAATGAGTATTTTTGGCAATAACTCAGGAACGGATCGGTAAATTCTTCTCATCTTCGAACTCGACCGAGATATTGTTGAGACTGAACTGTGTAGAAAATTTCATCGCGATCGGACTCTCATTTCAAAAGTTATCGTGTTAACGACCGGCCGGCCTGACGGACGGACGGACGGACACACTGACCGATTCTAGAGTGTACTCACTTTTTGAGTACACAAAAAGTGAAGATAATTGAGTCCTTATAATATAGGACTCGAGGACCTAAGAGCATCCTCACAATATAGGACTTGAGGACATAAGGGTACCCATATAATATAGGACTTGAGGACCTCAGGGTACCCTTATAGTATAGAACTTGAGGTCCTAAAGATACCCCTATAATATAGGACTTGAGGACTTAAGGGTACCTTTATAATATAGGACTTGAGGACGTAACGATACCTCCTTAATATAGGACTTGAGGACCTAAAGGTCCCCCTATAATATAGGACTTCAGAACCTAAGGGCACCCTCACAATATAGGACTTGAGGACCTAAAGGCACCCCTATAATATAGGACTCGAGGACCTAATGGTACCCTTATAATACATAGACTTGAGGACATAACGATACCCCCAATATAGGACTTAAAGACGTAAAGGTACTTAAACACGCCCCCCCCCCCCTCCCTCCTCGGAATAGGTCAATATTGGTATAGGAAAAAGTAAATGAAACAGATGAGTCACCCTAGAATGTGTGGACATCAAAATTGTCCTGGCAAACCCTTCCTGTAAACACTTAATTTCTATTGGCTATTGCCCAACCAATACGATTTGAAGGCAAATACAGCTCAGATTTGAACTCTTCACCTTGATTTACCCTAAGAAACTCGTTTTTCCTATAACTTGATTTCTATTGGTCACTGCTCAACCAATGGGATTTCGAGGCGAATGGAACATAGATTCGCGTTCTTCATTCTAGAAAACCTCGAACTATCATCTCTGTGATGGGAAGATAGAGCTCGAATTGTGGATCACATAGAGCGTGGACAAAAACAGAACTGAATTCCGATTAATTATCTTTGCAATAGGCGAGTTAGCTTTCTTGTTTCTTTATGTTTTATATACCATTTTGTAGCTCGTGAAATTCTCTATCGAATGGTATATAATAGTTGGGGATTTATATGACTATGATAGGAAAAGGTTTTTATGAAAGCAGAGAAGGGTTTATCTTCTCATAGGGAAAAATGACTATTTTTGCAATAACTCAGGAACGGCTCGGTAAATTCTTCTCATCTTCGAACTCGATCGAGATATTGTTGAGACTGAACTGTGTAGAAAATTTCATCGCGATCGGACTCTCCTTTCAAAAGTTATCGTGTTAACGGCCGGCCGGCCGGACACACTGACCGATTCTAGAGTGTACTCACTTTTTGAGTACACAAAAAAGGATTTTTTCGTTAAAAATTGACCTACAACACACAGTAACGTGTTCATAACTCATGATTAGCTAAAGATAATAACGTCGGGCTTGTATAGCTGATAGGTCTTTAGTTAGTGATTCTAGTGCCCTCCTGAAAATTAAAAGTCCATAATATTTACATTATATAACGCTTTGTCTTTTGAAAACTTGTCGAGGAATCCTTAAAATACTTGTCAGAAAAAAATCTGAAATATACGAATCGATGCAGTTTCATCGCCTCTTTCCAACGGTGAGAACCGCAGCTCCCTATCTTATTCTTATCAAAAGTTATTCTAAAAATACTCACCCTTTTTTTTTATTTTGAAACCGATGTTAGTTATCATAATAGTCAAGAAAAAAAAACAACACCGGCAATAATTTTCTTTGTGATGATTAGAAAGAAAAGCATACATGTTGTTATTATCGATTTTCTATATAGATTAGTCGTAAGGACAATGATAAACACATCTATATTTTCTCATCACGAATACATCAAAAGAATCAGTCGTATCTAATTGGAAATCGTGTTTAACAGCTGCTATGATTATTATACATGTAGTAATACATTATTATGCCTTGTAATTAAACTAATACGCATGCAAGTAAAACAACAAGAAAGATATGGAGAAATTCAAAAATTATATTAGTTTTTCTAATCAATGGTTCTGTATAGTCGTCATATAAATTGAAAATTTTGCAGTTGTCAGGCTTACGATTATTTAAAAGTTTTCAGACGACTTATTTGCAATGCATCGCTTGATACTGGACTAAACTAAGTCCTTAAAGAAGAATCATCTATTCTAAGATAAGCTGATGTAGGATATATAATGAATCCAATTGGCTTTATTCAATATCTTCTGATTCTTACGAACGACTATTGTTTGAATATTTAATCTTCATTGTTAAATAATACAAGATTTTTCTTCGTTTCTTCTTTTTTTTGACAAGTTTTAAAACAGTGAAAAGAACAAAAACAAAATAGTATTCATCATCTGAAAATTTCTTTCTTTGAAAAAGTTTATTGAAGCTATCTTTCAAATACTCTTCCATTAAAAGATTCATCATCTTGGTTATAATATATCATTTAGTGAATGGAGACTATTTGATTGATGAAATTTATCAATTATATCGGACATTTGAAAATTCTTAGTAGTTTTCTATAGAATAAGATGAGTAAACAATAATTATGATACGTTCTGATGTAGTATAGTAAAAGTATCTTGTTTGATGTATATATATACTTAATCGATTGAAATAGTTGCTAATCGTTGTTTTAAGTTCTATGACTGACAGGATGAATTTTCTAATCGAACATTATTTGAAAAACACTTTTGATAAATATCTTCAAATGAATGCATTATGTGTAATTAAGCATGGCTACTAGCTCAAATACTTTCTGTAATAAAACTTGATTAAGTGTTTGTTTTGAACTTTTATTTGCCACAAAAACTATTTTTGGTATGCCCTAAGTGTATAACCGAAGTCTACTTCAACTTAAAAGTACGTATTGCAGCAAAATTTGAAAAAATTTAAACCATAGTATTTAAATTGTAATGATCAAGTGTATTTCGTCTCGAATTTCTTTTTACATTAATTAAAAAGTTAGAAATAAATTCATGAGCAATGTTATTATGAAAACCTATTACTCAAACTAAAGTAACAACTGAAAAATTTACATTTTTTTTCAGTTTTATTGTCGAAGAATGCAACAGTGAACTTATTAGTTGGTGACATTACTGCATTATATTTGGATACAAATAATTTATTGTTGTTTTTCAAGTTTATGTTTTGATGATTTCCATTAAGATAAAATTTCGGGAAACAGTTTTTTATTCAAGTGTTAGCACATAATGTTTCAACGCAAAGAGAAAATCATTTGATGAATCTTTTTTAAATGTAAAGATTTCAGTATTCAAGTGGTCTTTGTCCATTTTTAAAAATAAGATAAATCGTTAGAAAGTTGTGTGTCCCCATGCTACAGTATTTATTCGGAAGTAATTCAGGTGTTATATTTTATTCAGTCTACAATTTTCTCAGTATGGAAAATGCTGCAGGCAAAATGATCATTTCTTTGTCGCCTATGAAGATGTTGATATAGAGAGATACTATATACATCACAAACTTTGAGACAGATAAAGTGCATTTTATGCTGATTGAATTCTTTTTTGTATGACTATTAAAATGAATCACTTGAGTATTATCTAACAATCTCCTTATTTTCGAAGTATAATTCTACTTAACAGTTTCCAGCGTTTGTTCATTTGTATGTTAGTTTGAAATAAAAAGAAAAATATATTTTTTTCGGTTGTAACTTTAATTTGGATAATATATTTTCAAAATATTGTTCGCAATGAATAAATTTTTAATTTTTTAGTTAATCTAGAATAACTTCTGCACTGTATGTACATCTCTAAATATATTTACAGTCATAAATATTCTAAGGTATCAGAAAAAGATGTCAATTTTCTTCACACAAATCGTGAACGATGTAATATTAATTATAATTATCTTCTTCAATATAATGCAATTTATTCATCAATCATTTGATTTTAGTATGTAACTAACGAAGGAATATTGTCAGTTTTTCGTATCTTTTGAACTAATATTTTGCTCATAAGTAGGTTTTGACAAGCTATGAAAAACCTTCAAAAAGTTTGTACTCATAGACGTTCTTTGTCAGATTTTGAATTTTTCGAGTATTTTCCGTGCACATGAAAATAATGGTAAACAGTTTTTATTTATTATTAAAAGATAGACATCTGGAAATATTCCCTCATCAGGTACCACATGTACTACTGGATATTAAACTAACAATGAACAACATATACGTCGAATATACGTGATTTTGTTGTTGAGAATTATAATTATCAACAAGTAAAGCTATTTATCTAAATTGTTTTTCATCAAAGATCAAAACTATTAGTTTTATTTATTTGATAAGCGATCATTAATCTATGAATAACGTCTATGACAAATTATGGTACTGTTTGTTAATCATGAATTTTATGACGATGTAACATAAAAAAACCAAAATTCTATTCTAAAAACTACTGTAAAACATTAAATCTGTTGACAAATAAGGAAAATTATATGAAATCATTTATTTCAAAACTAGAATCAAATAAGTAAAAAAAAAAATTTGTCGTTTTCGTTGACATGCTGTCCAATATCCAATACTGATAGAGACAACGAAATCAACTTTATAGATTCAAGTAAAACCTCTGTCTATATAGTTCACTAATGAAAATATTATAAAAATTATCATTGTCATTAAATTATCGACCTAGGCGTCTTTTTATTGAAAGTTGTTTGACTATGAGTCAATATGTATCATCATCTTATTAAATGTGACTTAATGATAAAATTATATATGGTCTAATAAACAATTAAAATTTATGCATTGTATGATCCGTCTTCAAATCTTAGCAAAATAACAATAAGTATATATATTGTCTTGTTGAAGTTTATGAGCATTTTCTTTATAGAATGGAAGAAAGACCAATTTTCTTTATTTCAGTTGAACTAAAATAAAACTTATTTCACTTAGACTTTGATTGTTTTTAAAAGCGATACAAATCGATAGACATCCATAAATGAATTATAAAGAGGTATCGGTGCAACACGAATAACATCACCACGAAGATCTAACTAGAAAAACAAAAGACAAAAAAAAACATGAATTATTTTAAATTAATAATAAAAATAAAACTTACACAAACACCTAAGTGTTCAAGTTCATTAAATAGCTTTCGAGCATCAACACCAATAATACGAAATGAAAGTTGTGCACCTCTTTGTTCAGGATCTGTTGGTGTTAAAGTATTTATTTTATACGAACTTGATGGTTCTAAATGAAAATAAACGAAAAAAAACCATTTACAAATCGATATACAAAAAAATATATGGCAATATCTACGATTTATTTCTGTTTCTATCAAATGTTGTAAATATTGAGTGAGTAATTTTGATTTTGTTCTCAAATTTTCAATGCCAGCTTCTTCAAAAACCTGTTAATAAACAAGGAAGTATATATATTGAATGTTTAAGTGATGCATTAAACATTTTTGATTTGACTATTTTACAAATTTTATTTTTCTGTAAATATAATTTTTATTTCATAATAATAATTCTTTAACTCAAGCATAACTTTTATTAAAATATACAAATTAGTATTAATAGTATATCTACCTGAAGACTTGCTGCTAATGTTGCACACTGATGAATAGATGGATTACTATTGCGAAATCCATTTGCTCCAATACCTCGATCAATTTCTTTTTTTTTTAGAAAAATAGAAATTTTTTTCATCGATCCATGTTTTCCAATTGAAATTAATTTTCTTTTTACCTGTATTCATTTGAAATCGTGTTTCATCTCGATTACCCCACCAACCATCAAAACGTGGATAGTTTTTATCAAAATGATTAGAATGAACAAATATACCACCAATACATCCCGCACTTGAATTTAAATATTTATATGAACAAAAAACAGCAAAATCAACATTCCAATCATGTAATTTCAATGGAACGTTACCAACAGTATGTGCTAAATCCCATCCAACAACACATCCCTAAATAAAACAAAAAATAAAAAATAACAATTTCTAAATCTAAGAAAAAAAAAAGAATAATAAATTTTTACATATTGTTGAGCAGCTCGAGTAATAGTTTCAATTTCAAATAATTGTCCTGTATAATATTGTACACCACTAAGAAGAACAAGAGCGATAGATTGACCTTGTTGTTTAAGTAATTCAAGAATATCTTCTGTTCTAATACAATCTTCATTCTATTTAAATGATAAGAAACAGTTGAAAATTAAACATTATATTTTATCTTACTGCTCGTGGTTTTATTTTTAGTGCTGCTTCTTCTAGTTTATATCCATGAAATTGAATTTGTGATTGAAAAGCATATTCATCACTAGGAAATGCTCGTTCTTCATAGAGAATTTTAAAACGTTTGGATGTCGGTCGATAAAATGAAATCTATTAAATAAAATAATATATAAATTATGTTCTATATAATTGAAATTTTCTAACCATCATAAAATGAATATTAGTCGTCAGTTGATTCATTATGCCTACTTCATTATCTTCAGCACCTATAAAATTCAAAAAATAAAATAAAATTACAATTGAAAGAGAGCACATTTACCAAGCAGTGTTTTCAATGTTGGTATACATGGATAATCACAATATGCAAATGGATTTGTACCGTAAATATGACCATAGACTCCTCTAAATAAATCTTATTGTAGAAAACATTCATATTTATAATAAAAGGAAATTTACAAATCAGCCCAATCTTTTAGCCAGATATCAATTAATTTTCGTACTCGTTTTGGTTGTAAACCTAATGAATGTCCACATAAATAGATACTATCACTCTGAGGATCTGTACGTGCTTTATCGACTAGATATACAGATAGAGTTTAGTATTAAAAAAAAACAAAACAAAATTATCCTATTATAAACATACCTTTGGGTAGACCACCAACTTTTGGTATGTAGAATTCATCGCGTAAATTCCTCAATGAATCATTTTCATCGAGTTTACGAGCAAATTCTTCACTTGTTATTGAAACATGCCATTTTTCAGATAGATGATTAAGAGTATTTTGAGGATTTAATGATTGATCGTTTTTATTAAGATTATTATTCATTTTTTTTTAGCTTGACGCTGTCTCTATAGTTGATGAAATAACCGTATCATGGATAAAAGGCATACTAAATACGGATAACATATAATATGATTTGACAGGTTCAAGTAAGCGTAACGAATATATATGCAATAGAATGATTTCTCAAGGTATGCATACCTTATTTATTTGAGTAAAGTACAAAAGTAAAAAACGAAAAGAATAATATCGATGGATGATCACAATAAATACATGAATGTACACCGATCGTCAATAACTATTTTGTTGTCATGTCAAAGTTTATATTTTTATGAGAAACTCAAATAGTAAAGAAAATCTTTGTTATATTCAATAGTGCTAATCGTCATCATTATCCATAGTCTAAAAATGGTTTTTACAGCTGTTGAATATTTCTTCTATTATGTATATGTATTGATGACATGAAGATCTAATATTTTTTACTAAATTTATGATTATGATTTCATTTTTTTTGTTGACAATAAAAAAAATCAATGGACCTAAATAAAACGCTATTAACTGTTTTTTCATTTGTAATCAACACATTTAACAAAATCATAATAATAAATATTACTTATATTGTTTCTGATATGTCATATACAGCCATGCAGCTTTCTTTTATCTATTAGTCAACATACAACATGTTAGTTATTTTTCTTGTTGAGTCATGATTGAACTATGAGAGGGTAATTACCAAACATAAAAAAATTGTTGGTGGCATACAGAAATTTATAAACATGTTGATGATTCATTACATCAATCAGAAATATTCATTTGTAAAATATAATAACAATGCAATTCTGTTTCTTGTTTTCGCTATATTCATGAAAACTTTTCATTCATCAAATAAAAAAAACTTTTTTACAGTAATATTCTTGAATGATCATAACCATTAAGCATCATTATTAGAAGATCAACACAATATAAAATATATATTGAAATATATTTGAATTTGATTTTTTAATAAAATTAATCCGAATATGATATCTTTTATTTTAATTTTTCTTTTATTGATTCATGAAAAAAATATTTTGTTTTCTTTAAATAATAAAGAAACATTATATGAGATACAAAAGACGGTCAATATGAAGTAGACTTTGGTAGTTCCAGAAGTTACCTGAAACTGAAACCGTAGTTTCAGTTATGTGCCCAAAATATCATGTGAAGCTTCAAACGTTAAACTATCAGATAGACGAGAAAACTTTAAATCTACGTTGAGAAATTTTCACTATTGAATTGTTGACATTAAACAAAGACATATTTCAGTTCTTGAACAAAACAATATTAACCATAATGTACAGAAATCTTTAATCCCATGAATGAAAAAATGAAGACTTCTCGATATAACTGTAACAAATTTTGTATCTATCTGATGATTTAATGGTTTCAATAAATTTCAAAAAGGTCAGTTCTCGTTCGGTTTTCGATTCGAATTTTTGCGAGCTGCTGAACTCTGGTGTTAAGTTCATGTTATCAATCAAATCAGTTACATAATTTAAAAGAATTTTTTTCCTCATTATAATAGTTGAGCTACTAATTTGCATTGTGCATTTTTTGTGTTGCAGTGAAATTGTATAAATACAGTGTGTCCTCGTGCAATGAATTGTTTTCCTCTTCTTATTATTTACTTACTTATAACTACTTTAGAAACTGATGATCTGTACGAAATTTAAGGAATCTCGTAGCGTGTTGTTTCAAAATGATTAGTAAATTTTTGAGTGACATCACTTTTATTCGTATATATGTGTGCCTACTCATATAGATCTTTTATCGTTTAATCGAGCTAAAATTGGATTGGTGAATTAAGAATTAGGTCATCTCTACAAGGTGTTGATTTAAGCTAGCCTATTGTAAACTGTTCATTTGTCACGTTTCTTAATTTAATTTTGCTTTGGATCGTGCATTTAGAGTTTCAAGCAATGAAATTATTCTTTGTTTTTATTACTATTGGTCTTGTGCTAATGTGTCTCATCTCAAGTTTGTTTTATTCATTTTTTTTATCAATGTCTTTGGATATTTTATAGTGAGTGAACAAGCTACTCATATAAATATTCTGGGTCGAGGCATTGGTAATAGTGGTAAGCCACGACAAAATTTTATACATAAAAATAACCGAAAAAAAGCACAAGAAGCTGCGCGACGTCAAGATAGTGGTCGTTCACCGATTCATCATAATGCACATGGTAAAAAACCGCACTTTTATCTATCGAATAAACATGTTAATACTCGAAAAGATGGAAGTCATTTTCAATATGGTAAAAAGAAAAATGGTTAAATCGAAACATTTATAACTTGATCGTGTATGATATATATATATAATAAATGTATACAATGTCAATTTTTAAATAAATTGATTGGAAAACCAATCAGGAAGAAAATGATATTTTGAATCAGATGTTTTTGTCATGGTAATTGTTTGAGATGATGGTAAAAAATTGAATAAAACAACATCTCTTTAAAAAACAAATAAAAAGATTTAAACATTGTATATAGAGTAAAATTTACTTATGATCATGTGAATATTCATTTGTAACATGTTCTTTAACAAATTGAGCAAAAAGTAAAAAGAAATTGAAGAATGACTGACGAGTCCATGTACACTATATGAATTCAAAATAGATTTAATCAATAAATGAAATTTAAAATAAAGATATTACTGTTGCTTTTTCAATATCTTCTATATTGAGTGGTGCGAGACTATTAACAATACCGTTATTATCACGTAAACCAATTACCATTGTTTTAATACCTTTAATAAATGCATATGAAATTTTTCAAAATAAACTATAGAAGAAAGTAAAAAAGAATATTTATTACCAACAAGAAAACATTGAATCCACCATTTAGCAAATTTACGATTGCTATAAAGAATAAATTAGTTATGCATGAAATTTATTCGCTAACTCGTTATATTCACTGTTTTAATGGTAGATCATTGAGTGATTTTCCAGCACAAACTTTAAGTTCAATATGTTCGGTGATTGATGATGCTTTTTCCACTACACAATCCATTTCAGCACCATACAATAGACGATAAGAACCCATAGTTGCTTGAAATACTCCGGTAAATTGTTTTAAAGGATTTAATGGTTCAGTTGACGTATCATCTAAAGATCCAAACAAAGAAATATAAAAATAATATGTGAATAAATTAAATAGGTGAGAAAAAGATCAACAACAGTCTATTTTTTTTTCATACTATAGATTTTTAAGTTCAAATTCTGATCATGATTTTATTAGCCAATGGAATTTTCTTTATAATGCATTCTATAGTAAGATTCGACCGATGAACTATTACGGTATAGTTTCTAAAATATAAGACACTGTAGTTTTCAGACTTCAGAAGACTGTATCAAAACTATTCTTTAATAAAGTCTTCTGAAGTGTGAAAACATTAGTGTCGTGTTCTTTTTTCAAATCTTGCTATCATAGTTGATCTATGGAGCCTTGCTATAGAGTGCATTATAAAGAAAACTTTATTAGCTATTAAAATCACTATCTAGATCAAGGTTCTTGACTAGACGAAAGGCTTTCTCTTTCCACAGAGTGTCGGATGCTCTACGAATTTTTTACAGCTTCATGGTAATTACGGACAGCTAGTAAATTTTAAAGACACTATTAGCTTTTCTTTGGTAGAGAGCAGAAACAAAATAAGCAGACAATGTCGTTGCAAGATGAATCGGGTTGGCGCAGATCCTAGAGAAGGGGCGACCTGGCCCCAGCTCGTCTGTTGTGGAAGATGTCGGCCCACAGTGGGTTTTGTTTTTATCCTCCCTTGGTCACCGCTTCTAACAATTCGAGGATCAAAGTATTTTCAGCTCCTCTCATCTCTAATTTACTTTTAGTAACATATTCTTCAAATTTGTGACCATAATAACAAAATGAACGATGTTCAGGTGTCATATTTTGTTCATCTATTATTTGCAATTCTGTTGCATATTCACATAAAAAATAAGCATTCTTAAATTTGATAACAGCTAATGACCAATCAGAATGTTTTTCATAAATTGAAAACATAATAAGACGAAGAACACCACGCCATGAAAGAAAATCAAATGTAAATCTAGGATTAAAAAAAAAAATATATACACTTCTATTCTAAGAAAGAATCAGAATAAAGATATTTACTGATTATTTTTGAAAATATCTTGTTTATGTTGTAACGTCCACCAGAGCATTGCATCAATGTTTTTACTTTGTACTTCGGAACTGAAATCTGATTCACCAACTTTTAAATCAAAATTAACATTGAGTGTTTGAAGTGGATATTTATAAACTGAAATAAAATTCATTATATATGTCAAGTCAGAAAGTTGATTTTAATTATTAAATATCTCATTAAGTATTCAACTATTTATTTCTCTCGTTCACAGAATAGTTGAATATCTAAATGAAAAAAATTCTTAATAATTAAATTCCAACTTCAGATTTGATACTACTAAAATTCGTAAATGATATTTTTAGATAAATACGAGCATTTACCACGAAGATAACGCTGATCTTCAAAACATTCTTTATCATTTGTTCGACTAAGTAATGAAAAAGAACCAATTTCATGAGTTTCAAATTGAAATGATGATTGTCGATGATTGAGATTCTTCCAAAATGGAACTGATAATGAATTGTTTTTCATTCCTGTTGTTGCAATACGATTTCCATCTGAATGATGGATGTACTTGCTAGGTGATTCTACACGAGCATTATCATTTTGTTTGCGTTTTTGTGTACTAGATGGTGAGATTTGTTTAGTTGTTCGTTGAAATATACCAATCTCTTCTTCAATTACAAGTTCATCTTTTTCATCAGATTTTACTTTTGCACTAGCCATTATCGATTAACTATCTAAAACAGAAAATTTAACTTTGCCAAAAATGATACAACACTTCAACCACTAACTTGTTTTGTTTAAATTATTCTCAGTTTTCATCTTGAAAAAAAGTGCATTCTATTTATTTAGCTCTTTAATTACGGAGCTTTTCTTCAAAGTAGCAAAAAAATGGATTCGTTTTTTTACTAATCAGATGAGTTCTACAGAGTACTCAGAACAGTCCAGGTAGGGTTATACTGCATTATGGGTATGACATCCACGGTGACTGCACGGACTATATCTTGGAAGTGAAGCGTTTTGTCTCAGAATAACCTGTTTTATATATAAAGACATTTTACCTCAGTAAACTACAGTAAAGATAAGATAGATAATCAAATACGATAAAATATAAAAGTCATAGTCCTGCAGAACTGCGCTAAAGTGAGAAAATGATCATTGTAACAAGAGTAGTTCGAGCAAAGCTTAACCTCTATATATATGGGCATGTAACCAAAGGATTAGCTATCGAATGAATATTCTAAAAGTTCACATCATGTCCCAATCATTCATTATTAGAAAAACTTGATGAATCGATCAACGATCAATTTCTATTTTTCGATCATTATCGATTTAAGTTTCTCCGATAAGTAGCAAAATGAAATAAATATAAATGTTATAAATCAATGAAAAAGACAACATTCAATTTGATTCTCTCACTAAATCTGATCATATGATTAGTCGTCTAAATTTGAAGAATTATTATATATTTGTTTACGAAGTAAAAAAAATGTTTCAATTTTAATCGAAATATTATGAAACCAAATCAAAATTATAATCAATTACATAGATTTTGATTTCACAGTGTATCTTTGCTTTTTTTCTCTTTTAACAAATAAATATATAAAATGATCTGAAAAGAGAAGAAAATACTATATAGGAAACAACAAAATCACTGTTCATATAAATACAAATACATGAAAGAAAAAGAATCAAGAAAAGAAAAAAGAAGAAATATAACACATTCAATGTTCAATATAACTATATTTGCAAAATCGGATTTGGATCAGGATGAAGAGCAGGAATAACAATCGAGTGAAAATTTTCTATGATGGTTAATATTTGTGAACGTGTCATGTTTGCTAGCGAAGCTATCTCTTCAAGATGATAAGTTCCATTAAGATATTTTATAATTCTAAATAAAAGAAAAAAAAGAAACAAATATATATTAAGAATTTCATAAACAAAACCGCAAGAAATCTACTTAAGAAAATCAGCAACATGTTGTTCTTTAGCATCTTTAATAGCTGATGCGAGACGGTGTCGATATTCGTGTCGTTCATTCGGTAAAACATATGCAATTTGATGAAGATATGATGATATTCGACTTGTAGTTGCTGTTGAAGTACTATTTACTGATGCTGGAACAAATACATCATCATTACCAGTGCTTGCCAAAGTTCTTGATGTATCTATTGATTTAGAATGATGAGTAGACGAATATGATAATGTATTTGTCATGGGAGATGAAGCTAGAACAAAAAAAGTCATTTTTATTAGAAAAAAAAATTTAACGGCGTAACCAGAAATTTAATATTTAATCCAAATCAACAGAAGAAGAGAATTTTCCTACTTTTTTTTAAAAAAAAATCTTTTACTTTACCCAGAATTCTCATATAATAGAATATAAGCAAAGTCTTACATTTATCATTAATATTTCAATTCCTATAGTAACAAAGAATTCGAAGTATTTGACAGCTTGGGTTATCAATTCTTTTGCAATGTTTGGAAAAATTCCGATTGTCGAGTTATTTTATTTAGCAGAATTCGAACTTTTATGAGTTTTATTATAGCTTCGAAATTAACTCATTCCAGCAATTAATGCACCTTCATTATACTATTGTAATCATTATATAGGACAAAGTTTTGAAACTACTAGCAATGCATGCTCTCTTCAATTGGAAATTGTTCCAAACTAAATTAAACAGACTAGATTATTACAAGAAGCTATTAAAATAACACTAAGTTTTAAATTTAATAAGGAACTTTTCATATGAATAATTCTAACGTACAGTCCTGGCCATAAGCCCCTCACTTCCCTGAACTTTATCAATATTTCAAGCTATTAGTTTGAGATTTCGGCCGCATGTGAGTACTGACAAATGCTGATCATAGACACCAACCCGACATCAATTCAATGTAATAAAACAGAGTTATACACCAAACACTATCGTTATCTTGCATTGCTTGCATCTTAGTCATACAAGCATTTTGGAGATCGGGAAGCCCAGCATTCAAACGATTGAGTCTTCAGCTTTCTTCGGTAAAATTTGCATTAGAAAAGTCTTTCAGATTGCTGAGATCTCAGCCTGTTAATGGATACTGGTCGAATTACAATGATGATGATTTTCATTGCGTAATAATGAAAATCATCTTTACATTGACCAATTCACCTGAAAATTTTTTCTCAA